TAATAAAAAAAAAAAAAAAATCGAAAGCACAAAACCTCTCATATATTTCATTACAAAAACCTCTGAAATATTTCATTTTCCATTTGCTAACAATAGAAACTAAAAGTAGGACATCCATAAGCGTTTATCAGTTGAAAGAAACCCATCAATATCACATGGCCACTTGACAAAAACTCCCACCACGCAGATCACCAACACCACCTACAATTTGGTCTCCACATTTAGGCCTTTGACCCCCACACACACACACACATACACAACATATGTATGATATTCATCGCAGAAAGCTACACTCCCGTTACGGAATTATTCTGTCGGAGTTTGTAACTGTCATATTAACTAATCTTTACGATTACATAATGATCTAACGGTTAGAACATAGTTCCGTCAATTTTGCTCTTCGTGCACTAAAATACTGGATGTCCTTTTTCACTGTATAAATAATGTTAGGCTGGTAACCCATCCGTCCACTCCACACCATTCTCTCACCAAAAAAAATAATGAATGCGTCGGATTCGTGTACTTTTTGCCCTTCATTTGCTCCCTTTATTTATTCGCACGCCTTTTCCTAAATTTGTGTACTGCACTCTCTTCTTCTTCCCTTTACTATTCTCACCATTTTCATTAAAATTTCACTTTTACTTTCATTTTTTTTCTCGCCAAACACGTATCCATAGATTTTAATAGCGTGTTGCCTCTGACATCAAACTCATATTAGTCTGTCTAAGGCCGTGTTTGGCTTTGGTCCTATTTTTGGAGTACTTTAATTGCAATCCCAAAGGATTTTCGTTTCGTCCATGGAGGTGTCCGACGGCAGCAACAACAGCATAGAGATGGAAAGGGAGCGGCTACTTGCCGAGGTCGCGATATCCGAGGACTCCTCGTCGGTGGTCATCAAAATCCGTCGGAGGCTCCCCGATTTCCTCCAGTCGGTGAAGCTCAAGTACGTGAAGCTCGGGTACGGCTACTCGTGCAACCCGGCCACCGCACTCCTCCTCCTCGCCGGCCTGCCGCTGTTCGCCGCCACGTGCGTGCAGCTCACGCGCCTGGTCTTCCGGCTCGACGTCCCAGCCCTCTTCTCCGACAACTACCTGCGCGTGGCCCAGACGGCCCTCCTCCTGGACACCGCCACCGTCCTCGTCGGCTCCCTCGCCCTCATCTTCCTCCTCGCCGTATACTGGGCCAAGAAGCCCCGCCCCGTCTACTTACTCGACTTCGCCTGCTACAAGCCCGAGGACGAGAGGAAGCTCTCCGTCGAGGGGTTCCTCAAGATGACCGAGCGGACCGGCGGATTTGAGGAAGAGTCGGTCCAGTTCCA